AAAAAATATATTTTTATTGATTTCAGAGAGAAAGGGAGAAGGAGAGAGAGATAGAAACATCAATGATGAGAGAGAATCATTGATCAGCTGCCTCCTTCACATCCCCCACTGGGGATCAAGCCTGCAACCGGGACATGTGCCCTGACAGAGAATTGAACCATGACCTGCTGGTTCATAGGTTGACATTCAACCACTGAGCCATGCCAGTGGGGCTCTGTCCCTCTTTGATTATAAAAATCCTTACAGAACTACCTGGAGACAGATAGAAATAGTAAAAAATATATATATCCTATATAATAAAAGGGTAATATGCAAATCGACCAAACAGCGGAGCGACTGGTCTCCATGATGCACACTGACCACCAGGGTTTCAGTGGTTCTCAACCTTCCTAATGCTGCGACCCTTTAATACAGTTCCTCATTTTGTGGTGACCCCCAACCATAAAATTATTTTCGTTGCTACTTCATAACTGTAATTTTGCTACTGTTATGAATCGTAATGTAAATATCTGATATGCAGGATGTATTTTCATTGTTACAAATTGAACATAATTAAAGCATAGTGATTAATCACAAAAACAATATGTAATTATATATGTGTTTTCTGATGGTCTTAGGCGACCCCTGTGAAAGGGTCGCGACCCACAGGTTGAGAGCCTCTGAGTTACAGGTTCTTAACTTGTGATGTCCTCCTGTCTCTTTGTGCTCCTCAGCCTCACCGCCTTCCCACCTCACCTCCACTGGTTTCCATGCCAATGCATGTTATTGGGGACACCAAATGGCCTTCGATGTCACCTCAGACTATTACAGCCTTGTCTTCAAGTCTGCCCAACAGTCATCTGACTCTCAAAGGCACTGGGAGACCCCGAGGGGATGTTAGGAGGAAACGGAGGCTTCAAGCGCTGGACTTAACCCAGGTTCACCTGCTGCTGAGTCATGGGTTATTTTTTTTCTTCAAAAATCTCTTGATTTTTGTTAAGTTAACGTAAAAACATTCAAACCTGTAAAGAATTTTTGTGAGTTTATTTGAGCCAAACTGTCAGCAATTGCCAGGAAGCAGTATCTCAACAGATTGGGATAATGCTCCAGAGAATGGCAGTTTTTCATCTATTTTTATACATTGCAATCAAAGAGGGGACGTAGGTGGGTTACATGAAATCCATTGTTGATAGATTAGAGAGGCGGGAAGCCAAGGTGCGGGAGAAAGCAAAGCTGGGGAGGGGGCGGGGGCAGGGACCTCTGGGATTGGATAAAAAGTAAAACGATAGACACATACTTAGGTGAGTGCAGGATAGTTAACAGTCAACAATTAACATGATAACAATAACAATGAAGGAATTTGTGGTATCTGTCCTGGTGCCCAGGTACATTAGGTTGTGTCCCAAGGGATCTGGAAAAAGAGAAGTTACAAGTTACCCAGACATTTCAAGGGTATGCTATCATAGATGCAAAAAAACAGGTAGGCTCAGTTAAGGTAAAGGTGGCCTAGGACGTAACTACCCACCATAATTGCTTTTAGTTAAAGTTTAATTTCAGACCATCCTTTGTGGTTACTTTAGGTCTCTGAGTTTTCGAGACTGCCATGCAGGCCTCCCTGAACTTGTCAGGTTAGCATGTGGTCCCTTTCATTCACAGTTATAATAATCAATCTTGCCTTTCGAGGAGTAAGATACTTGTTTTTGTAGGCTAGATGTGATTGAAAGAATGCTTCCCTTCCCTCCCTCCCCCCAGCTGTCTGTGTGGCAGAAAAGAAAAACCTACATTAAGTGAAAATCAATGAAAAATAAGAATTTCTTGGATGAATGGGAAAGAGAAGGGTTTGGAGGGGTGACTAGATCAAGAAAAATGAAAGGGCATTAAGTAGCGATGTCGCCACTTTAACTCATTAATAATGTGAATGCATTGTGGTTAATGGATCATTTTACGTGGTTTAAATTGCTGTCACATTCATCATCCCAGTTGGTCTCTTTATCTCCCCTATGAGGCGGGCAGGACGCATTGGATTCTCCTAACTATATAGGAACCGAGTGACAGAAAATCAGTGAATCTTCCAAGGTCTTAGACTGACACGGAGGCAGAATTAAGAATGTAATTAAGACCCCTGATACTTCTCAAACTGCCAGTTATGAAAACAGTTCCGGGAATGTAAAGCACAGCATGGGGAATACAGTCAATTATCCTATATAACAAAGAAGTAATATGAAAATTAACCCTCACACCCTCACAAGATGGCTGCCTACAACCAGGCTTGCAGGGGGGTTAGTGGGGGACGACCAAACGACTGAACAA